TATGGCAATCAATTATTTTGTCTACGAAAATTGAATTTTCAGTCTCCTCCACTTGTCTTCGCCTGATATATCTTTAAAATAATTGTAACAGAAATAACATATTGTTAAAAGCATATTTTTGTTCAATTGTAGAGTAAAGATGTGCACTGATATAGTAATATATCTAAACCATGCTATATCTAAACCATATCTAAACCTGTATTCAAATTATTACTCTTGTCATTGTACAATATGTGCTTTCCGTTATAGTTTTGCTTGTGAGTATCAAGAACGGGATTGAATATGACCATAGCTACGAATGGACAAACGCAAAACTTCCAATCATAGATGAAGCATGCTATTAGCATTTTACAAATATGAACACATACCATATTCTTTTCATTCCCACCAACTATGGATAGTGTCATTTAACGTGTTTGGTGGTTTATCACAACACCTTGTAACGAATATATAAATACTATTTGAATAGGAATATAATAATTGCGCTGGTAGTTAATAGTAACATTTTTGACAATGGTACACACAAAATGGATCTATTTGTGCCGAATATACTGTAACAGGTTATGCTAAAAATAACTTATATCTCACACAACTCTGTTCACTTGGTGAAACCCTACATGTTTTCTTTAATGAATAGATGTCTAATTAGTATTTACGGGAAATCGACAACTGTAATCACGCAACTTAATTGATCTAGCTGAATAAATATATGAAATTTACCACAGTCAGAACACTCAAATAACTAATTGTCTTTAACGAGTGGACGCGTGCGAGGACTCGCAGTTCCATTTCCTTTAACTCGTTTAACGCTAAAGTCATCTTCCACAAATCAGAGCGACATAATTGTTGCAGATATATTCAGCGTTAATGGAAGATTCGCAAAATAATGCACCAACATATAGCGCTCAAAAGAATAACCTACGTTTCAGGTTGTTTTCTAAATTATACTTGCTGTGCAACAGTTACCCTGCGTATTTCCTAATCTGTTGTGGTTGATTTAGTTTTCATGATGAAATGAATGAATTATACAGCTTATAACGTACCTTACTAGAATCCACTTTAAATCTGTATTTTTGTGATTGTGCGTTTTTGCCTCAGAGGTAACGTGAACACCAATCAATGAATTTGATATGTGCTTTCCTGTGGTAACATCGTGCTGAGAGCGGACTTCTTCTCATCATTTCCAGCTGCATTGAGACTAATTAGTCGCAAGCTGTGGGATATTTCCGTCACGACTCCAACACAATTGTTGAAAGAAAAGCTGGGGCATATGGGATGCATTCTTAAATAATTAATAAATATAGTTGTTTATTTATATTATATTACTTCATCTTATAATCTCGAATTACATTCATTCGCACGGGTTCATTTTGCAGCAATGTATGACATTTTCTTGTCATTTGACAAGTTTCATATGTTTAACGTAGTCACCAGTATATAGCGTAAACTTTTGTCAAAATTGATAATTTTATGGCGATTTAAATTTGCTATTCTGAGCAACTCTTGCAGGGAGGAACCTCGTACGTTTTGTCGGAACTATTGTTAATGAACACGATGATTTAAGTAATATGTGGATTTGTGCGGGACCAATAGGCAAATAATTAACATAAACAATCACATGACAATAAACAATTTCACTACGTATTTTGAAATATATCATCTCAAATTAACAAAATACATAATTTAAGTTTTCAGAGACAAAAATAATCATATACACCAGGGCATAAATACCCGCAATTGCTACTATTTAAGAAGTAATTGTCATTAGCAGCCACTAACCGAGTATCTTGTTCGAGATGTTCTCGATACAGCTGACTAAAATCAACTTTCGCATTCATGTCTTTATACGGTTTAAAATGGTAACGCTCTCTATGACAACTATTAATTATGTTTGTTGAAATAAATATTTCCCCGTCAGTGATGAGAGACAAGCGAATATGTTAAAACTGCATGACAGGCAAGAAAATGTACAAATAGTTACGTACTAGAAACGTTTCGTTTGTTTGTCTTTGCCATACAGTTTAACCGCAGATTAAACATCATTACACTTTTGGCAGACAAGGCAATATAATTCACGCGTCCTTAAAACGTCGTAAAGACGAATTCGAATGTTTTCTTTAATTGGGAAATTTTAGTCGTATTTACGTCACACTCGAACCGAGCGTGACTGAAAAAAAGTCACGCCACTGAACTCAGACGTTTGCATTATAGAGAACATTGTATCGGCAGTACGAGAACGTATTGACCCCAGCCCGCGGAATTCAGTTGTACATACCTTAAGAAATACATGAGTCAATTAGGAAGGGAAATGTTGTCGCTGTAATTTAGTGTGCCTGCCCTGCAAAATCGATTTTTAGGTCTGCTAAAAGATTTATATTGCGTTTGTTTGCAATGACTTCGTAGCACTTTGTCTGAGTGTACTAAATGTTAAGTACAACGAAACAAGGTAGTTTTTCGGCTTGCAGTCTTCGGGCTGTTGAACTGTCCGAGTAACTGTCAGTTACATAGGTAGGAAGAGAATATTTTATTTTTATGAGGAAATTTGAAAGAAAATTGAATTGGTTAACGTAAGTTGTGTCTTAGTTTCTGAATTATACCCCGTGCATTTTTGCCTAAATCACTGCTCTGAAAATCCATTGTTTGGTCTGCTAAAAGCTTAGCAGGGCGTTTGTTTGAAATGTCTTCGTAGCACTCTGTCTTGCCTAGATTTTAAGTAGATCATAACATACACTACGCAGGTGTTTTTTTCGGCTTAAAGTCATCAGATTGTTGAACTACAGGTCCGAATAACTGTATGCAAAATACTAGTATATGTTTGTAAAGAAATTTGGTTAACTGGTTAATAAAAGTGGGGTTCTGGTTGCTGAATTATACCCTGCGCTACACGGTTGTTAAGCATGTAACCATACAAAACACTGTCATCAAAATAAATGTAGGTATGAACTGTTTTGTACATGAAATATAATATAACTCTCCGTAATGAAGACATTCTTTCCAGATGATTATTATGACAGGAGTATTATGAAAAAAGGTAATTCCGTACATAAATGCATGATAAAATGATACAGTTTCCTTACATAGTTACCAAATTATGAATTATCATATAATTACAGTGGCATTACTAAATCTTACCCTACCTTGGAGAAACACGTACCAACATTCAGGTAGAAAGGCATTACTGTTACATTGGTGAAGAACATTTAAATTAATAGATATGACATTCAATCATCCGCCTTGAACATTTTCCAATCTTGTTAGGCTTCTCGAAATGCCGTGTCATATTTTCAAGTCATTACCCAATAAACAATGAGAGAAACAATTGTTCAGAATGAATTATCGGGATATATTCGCACGTCATACATACAGGTACTCGCTCGGAGTTTGCTAGGGATTTTTCATCGGATGTTAAAGGGCGGTAGTCGTCATATAAAAAAAGAGTCACCATCATACTATTTGGATTTTGGGAAAATCAATGTTTATCAACACAAATGTCGCACATGCGCAGCGCGACGATCACCGCCCTTTAAGTTCAAACAATAATTGAATCTGGTATCGCGTTGAAAGATCAATTTGATTATGGCACTCTCCAACCAAATCTTTTAATGTGTCACACTTGATCCGTGTCTGAAAACCAGTGAAGTACAAAACTGTACAAAGATGACAGAAACAAAAATGGCCATCGATAAGTGGACACAATTGGAACCATCACTTATAAGTAAACGTGTAATTCACACGAGCTGAAATGAATGGTTTGATTGAATACACTGTATACGAAAGCGTGAATACTCTGTACTGTAACACTCAACTTGACTGTCTTACATGCGACAATATGCCACGAATACTTCTAGATGCAATCTAGATGTCAAGACAGTGAAATAAAGCCACTACTTATAGGGAAATAAGCCGGGATATTATAATTAATAAAATACAAATTATAACCGACTATTCACACTTAGCCGATGTATTGTAATGTTTAACGTGTTTGACAACGTTTAATTCACACGTGTTTAACAACGTTTAATTCACACGTGTTTGACAACGTTTAATTCACACGTGTTTGACAACCAGCATGCTCAACATATGTTCAAACGGTGCTTTATGAATCGAGACAAATATGAATTTATATTTAAAAACAACAGCAGTTAACAATGCTATGTTATACCTTAAAGTGCAAAATGCCTCTTTCTTAATTGTACGGTTTGAAGTGGGCTTACTATGAGTTGGGATGTTACACAAATATACCATACATTTTGTTATGAAATAATTAAGCTAGCGATACCGAGAAGGTTCAACCAATCATATCATATCCTGTCATATCGGGAATTTAGCTAGTTTTGACAATTCACTACAACCCAGTCTGTTTAGTGGACAATGGTACTTCGGAAATAAAACATTATTATTATTATCAAAGCAGAATTCTCTTGGAGATGAACATGACAAGATGCATATATGACAGGTATCATCAGGGACTATCCAATGTATCTGTAGGTCCAGCCACTAAAACAGTGTCACTTCAGGGGCATGTCAGTACCAGGTTTTACAATTTATGTTTCTACTACATAAGTAAATCACAAGTGTTTTGTGTCGAGTTGTAAAGTGACAAATAGTATTAAACAATTTGTGTTTTTTTCTAAATAATTGTCAAGAAATACGATTCTATAAGACTATAAGCAGCAATCACCAACTTGCAGTTGTCAAGCTTATTGCTATGAACATGTTAAGGGAACACAGCCAGTCAACAAAACAAAGTATTTTAAATCCTAATCCTAAGGCTTTGTCCCGAAATCTTCTATGGATATATATTTGGGTGAAATGCGCATAATTTTGTAACAAGGTATGCATGATTGTAATTCTAATTAAAAAAAATTATATAGCCAATGACTAGCATTGTGTTTAAGATAGGAAAAATTTACACTGTCTGTTGAGTGAGCCGCGAGTTTAAAATGATCTTAAAGTGTCTTAAATTTAACTCATGAATCAATTATATTGTTCTGTTTCAGGTGTCCGTTTCTGTAAGCATCTATACGTTGACCGTAATAGCGATAGATCGGTATTACGCCGTACTGTATCCAATGAAATTACGAATGACCAATCATCGAGCCAGATATATTATAGTCGTCATATGGCTGCTAGCTGTGTCTATGTCTGCTGTACAGTTGGTAACCGCGCGTGCTTCTCCGTATGAACTGAATGACGGGGATGTTGAAGGGGATACTGTTTACTTCTGCTATGAGCGTATGAATCCAGATGTGGCAAAAGCCTATGAGATGTTCATTCTGACCATAACATATGTGATGCCTCTAGTTATCCAATGCTTCGCGTATTACAACGTCGGAAAACGGTTATGGGGGAGACAGTTGCCTGGCAACGCCGATGAGAGTAGGGACATTGCACATAATAAGTCGAAAAAAAAGGTAAGTGAAATGTATTATTATAAATTTTATGTTAAATGAATAACTGTAAGTTTTTTGGATATAATTTAAATGTGGTGTAAAATATGTATGTATGCTTTACTTGCAGATGATCAAAATGCTGGTTACCGTGGTTACGCTCTTCGCCTTGTGTTGGCTACCATTACAAGTGTTCAATGCGGTTCACATTTTTCTGCCATATTTGTACCGTGATGTCGACTCCCAAAATATAATGCGAATCTGTAATAGTTGTTTTTTGTTACTGGCTTGTGCGAACAGTTTCATGAACCCCTTCGTGTATGGTCTCGTCAATGATACGTTTCGGGTAAGTATAAATGGGTTGTTCATTTCTTAGATCGGCGTTCGGAAATATTCTGCTAAAATAAATGGTATAAATGGCGCAGATTCATTATAAATTTCAGCTAGCAAATATTATAATTTTTATTGATGATTTATTCTTGTTTTGTTTGTTGAAAGTGAACAAACTCATGTGCATGCATATTTAAACATTTCTTTAGTGTTTCCCAGTATAAATTTATACATATGATAACGTTTATGTCGTGCCTTTTCATAACATGTGGTTGATTATTATTTGTTCTGTTTATTCAATATCAACACAGGCTGATTTGAAGAGGCTTATTCTCTGCAGATCCAGGAATAGGAATACATTTCGTAACAGCGGTGTCTCGCAATTCACCCGAACCACAAGAAATACTTCGTGGAAAAGGTCAAGCAACACCGAACAATCAACACACTGATGTATTTGGATCAAGTATTATTACACTGAAACCACAAATGACGTTAATCTATGAAACATACTTTTTTCAGAACGTGTTTTAACCAAGATTTAAGAATGTTAAAAACGCCAGCAGAACAGCAGGCGTTGAAATGGGAAAGAGTTAATCATCAGTGTGTGGCATTAATGGTGTATCGCCACTGTAAATCTTATGTTTGTTGGATGTTTCAAAGTCAAAAAAAAACTTTGTTTTTCTACTTTCCTGTTTTTGTTAGTATTTCGTTCTTTTTGTGTTTCTTGGAAAACGATGTAGGTACATAAGTTGTAAATGATGCATTTTAACTACCAGATGGATTGTAATGGAAATTGTTACAAAATGCGTCGAATGGTGTTTGATAGATTATGTAATTACTGTGTATGTAATTATGGTGTTAAAGTTGTAGTGAAAGGTACATCCATTGTTGTCTTGGTCGTTGGAAGCAAAGTACTATGTAATTGTGATATGTTAGGCATTCGCCGCTGAGTTTTAAAAAGTCACGTATGTTGCGTATTCATGTCATCTCCCCGTGCGTGTGTTCATAGGGGATTCTGGTGTTTGTTTGTTTTTAAATTTATATGTGAGATAAAGTGTCTTCTTAGACACCAGGTCTAGTATGCACTCAGTGACCTTCAATGTACAAATGGTAACTGCAACACGCTCTATCAATCAGCTAATTTTAATGTCGCATTAGCAGCTCCCAAGTTTCTCTGACTATAGCGTTCATTACAGAGTCCAAATACATCAGTGACATGTACATTACAGTATATGATAAAACGCCGCCCGCGACCATGAACGTGGGTAAATTGTATGATAGACTAAGCATGTTTGACCTTTCAGTGTGATCGCTTTTAGAGGTGACGTCAATTGTTGGAATGGCCTGAAACTATGTTTATCATGCGCTTGGCATACCTACGGAGGGTATATACTTTTATTTTTGTAATGTGTGTGTAATTGGAATTACCCTGGGTAATTGACTGTACTATATTATGTAGCCTAATTGGTGTTCGACTGCCAACCCGCAGCGTGGACAATGTAAAAACAAAACAATTGAATGTATACTCTACATGTCTACTTACAAATTATAAATTTACGATCACGAAGGCGAGAATTCGACCCCCAGTAGATTCATCCTCAACATCACTCAGGATACAATGTTAATTAGCCAATAAGAATCTAGACTTGTCAAAGAATGATATAATAATTCTGCCATAATGTTCAGTTACTCAATATGTGCCTTCCGTTATAGTTTTGCTTTTGAGTATTCGTCGTGTGTATTAATATCAAGAATGGCTTAAATTCCAGTCGCACGTTGACTGTATTATTTTCACAACTGAATAATATTAAACACGAAATTGAATTAAAAATGCATTATGAAATTAATATCGAATTACAAATAAAATATCGTGAACCATAATGGCAAACAGCTATTTGTTTGACCTAACGCTAACGTATGCTGATGTAAGCATATTGACAAAAACTAGAATCTTATTCGCACGCCGTGTCAGTTAGCAATACAAATAAATACAAATAAATACAAACCATTACAAATTAAATTCGAGGATGCAATGCTTCGTTAGTATCAACGTGAATTGAATTCCCGCTATGTCACTCGAAGGAGATTTTTTTCTTTTTTATTCAGGTGATGCAAGGGAAAATCTACTTATATGTATTATGATTTGGGGTTATGCTTATTTTTAATGGCATTTTTTATTATACGCTTAATATTAGGGATTTAATTGTTTTGCTCATCGTGTAGTGATCAAGGTTAGGAATTGAACACGTCAAAATCCAGTATATATTAGTGTTACTGTATTTCATATTACAACCCGCGGATAAATGTTTAGCAGATGCGATCCGGTTATAGAAATTGACTCATGTTTCTTGTTTTTCTTTTATGATTTCATGTTTTATTCTTAACGCTGTGGTATTAATTTTCCCGTGTTAAGAAACAACTAATGAGAACTGAGTAGCAATTCTCACTGCCATTGTGCAAATAGTCTACCGAATGTGTGAAATCGATGAGCGAATGTCCAGAATGTGGAATGATAATTATCATTGGCCATCTGAAAAGCAAGGAATATGATTTTGGTAAGTGCCATATTGTTGAATTCATTGTTGGATTGTGCAGCTTGTGTCAACCAGGATAGAAGACGTCGTGGTATCGTTAGAAGGCTTAATTCACACAATAATACATATCGACTGGAACGAGAATTGGGTGTGTATGGTGTATAATGGCCATGTTCTAAGACGGTTGTAATTAGGTATTCTACTAGTATGTTTCGGCAAATCGTTGAACATGAATTCATATTAGGAAGGAAGAGTAGCATCACAGCCAGATCCGAACGATTATCCGAAATACTACTTGAAGACGGAATTCTAGCAACACTAACAAATATCAGTTATTTTTTCACCTGATTCAGTTATTTAGTACGGGCATATTATAAAAAACAGAATAGCATTGATTCGCGCAGCATTTAACATTTAAACTCAGTGTCAAAGTCAAGGATCTGAAGGCATGGTTATTTTTGGAATAACTACATTTATTACAGCCCCACACGGTAATTCTAAAGAAAGACAAATTCAGTTTTTATTTATTTTTGATGTAAACATATTTGTTCGAGCTGTTGGTCTCCGATAAAATGTCGTCATGTAAAAGATCGGCTCATATAGGTTGTCGTCCGAGTTGGTGGATCATCGGTTGTCATAACAAAATGTTGACGGAATATCGGGTTGTATTGACTTTTTTGACCAGTAATCATAACAAATAGTTCAGAACTCCTTCAATGCTGTTATATTTGCATTCGTTACAAAATAATAATTGATATATATTTATAAAGCTATCAAGATTGTTTTGTGTTTCAGAAGAGTACCCTCTGTTTGTAAGATGATGTATCAACATATAGGTGTATAGTCACTTTTATTACATTTAACCTATATTATTTCCAAATTTCGTCAATTTAAATTTATTATTCGTTATATTTCCATATTAAGTATTGAAATTATTATTTTTAAAGTAGATATTCCTGTACCATGCTGGATAGTTCAATTGTTTAAAATATTAGTAGTACTAATAAATACAATCGATTTCAAATGGCGACAATTTGCGTCAATTGTTGGTATTTTGATTTTCTCTAACTGCGTACATTTTTATTATTATAGAAATGACAACTTTGCATAAACTTTTACACAATTATATTACATATTATATTACAATAAAATAATTATATTGCAATTATATCACTTTTATTACTTGTAGATACTATTATATATTATTATACATCTGTCACCGTAACACCATAAGTTACAACGTGCCGTAATTCTGCGGTATTTTACGGGTTATTTTCACCCTACCATATTAGGAAATGCGACACTTAGACAGTACGCTGTCGTATCGACCTCCGCTGCGCGTCGGTCGATACTGCCGCTGTACTGTCTTCATGCATACTTTGAGGTATCTTCGTAATAATCTTATATTACATGGTGTTTACACATTGAAAATAATTAATTCTTTATTTCATTGGTAAATGTGTATGTCATGTTTTATTGTATGTGACGCGGTTTACACATTGTTTGTATATGCTTTAGACTTTTGTAATCTTTAAATATTAAATCAATTAAACATGATTGTTTGATTCTTTTCTGAAGGTAAGCATCTAACTCCCATCTAACTCGTATGTATCAAACTAGTATATGTTTTAAGCAATTCTTTTTAGAGAGCATTTACTGTTACAGGAACATCTCGTAAAAAATGTAAATATATTGCTTGACGTAGAATACCTTAGTATGGTGTGTCACATTTAGTGACAAAAAATCGTTCCATCTTTCAAGCTACTTTAAAATGAATTCTAGAAATGTCGTTTTATGATAATTGTTTTTCTTATTTTGCAATGATAACAGACGACTTGTATTGAGCTAAAACACACGTGGGAAAAATGTTACAATAGTCTATAGAATAGTCTAGTTTAATCTATGGCTGAAAGAACTTGAAAAGTCATTTTCTAGCTGTGTGCATGCCTTCATCAAAAATATTCACAGTCTGAAACGGCAATACGAAGTAAGCAATACAACTCGCATCCTAGCATTTTACGTTATGTCTGGTTATAAAATGTAGTGAATTATGGGTTAATTGTGACATACACGGGCAGGGGCTCAAATAACCGTATACGCAGGGTAAATAAATGGCGTGCAATACTCCATCTGACAAGAAGGTTTTTGAAATATAAATAATATGAAAATAGATTAAGTGCTCCGAAAAAGCACGTAGACAAGTGAAATATCATGAAACCTGAAATGTATGCCTTCTTTATCATGTTACTTGTCGCTATCAATCTTTCACAATCAAGTAACACATGTACGGATCGAGTTCGAAGACCGTGATATGGCAATAACAAATTACGTGATGTTAGGTGACTTCGACTGAAATTGTTATATATTTAAATATTGATGTTGTTACGAATTTCAAATAAGATAATGTTTTCTCATTATATTGATGGTACACGCATATTCTCATTATTCAAGATTCTCATTAGATCTAATAATGTGAGTTTTCAGGATAATATTTTGTGAATTAACTAGTCGATCACTGTTTTCGAGAAAATCATCTGCTCATATATTCAACATTGATATTAAGTCCTGTATTTACGCTGTGTTTGTAGCAGCCGGTGATTGGTCCTGTTCAGTGAATTGGTTACATGTGTACTCTCATCTAAAGGAATTAATTATACGGCGCCATGATCTTATAACGTCAAATTGCACAGCCTTGTGGGGTTTTACTCATCGCAATTCTATGTAATTTACCGATCCGTGATGTAACTATGCAATATCATGGAAGTCACATGTAAACATAATATCAATATCTCTATGTAGTGTACGGCAGCTCATTAGTTGTTAATGGACGCATGGTAGAGTAGTAATTTGAAATATATTGAATTCCAACATTCTGACCCAAAGAACATCAGTACGGTGAAATTGTGTACCATTAT